AAAGCACTTCTGTTAAACTGTTTACTTTTCTTTTTAAGAACATACATGGAGCACTGTATGTCCACCAGTTGTCTTAAGTTTTGTGAAAGTGTGATTTGTTTAATTTACACTAGAGAGTTTAAAGCACTTTGTGCAAAAGAGCACAAGAGAAACTCCACAGACCTACTTCTTTAGGATTTAAAATCTTAGGATCAGAACTCAATCTCCATTCATGGCTTTTGTTTTCACCATGATATTTTGATATCTGAATCCATTTCAGATTCACTGAATTGATAAACGTTTGAGGTAGAACATAGACGGGTACACAGTGAAAAAAGATGTAACTGTTACGCTCACTCTGTTAAACTGTTTACTGTTTATGGTATTTCTTTTTTCTATTGTTGTATGTATTTACTTTATACCGTCTCAGGTTCTATGAAATTTCCTATAAATATTAATACTATTATACAGTAAATGGAAACTTGACTAGTTTTCATTTATTGGCCAGTGATAATGGTGTTTTTTTCTTTTCTTTTTTTTTCTAGGTTTCAAACCAGGCTGTGTGGGTGGAGGAGGACAAGCAGTGTCTGCCTCCGTCATGTGCGCTAATACAGTGTCACCACATTAGTGCTTGGTGATTCAAAGCATATTATTTATTTACTGCGTCCACCTTCTCCCCCACCCAACTCTTGGGTATTTTGATATTATGAGCAGATAACAATATTGCAATTCTATAGTATACTATGCTATGCTATGCAATGCTGTGCGATGCTCTGCTATACACTGCATAGCACTTCACTACACTACAATATACTACACAGTGTTCTACTGCACTACACTGTACTAATGCTGTATGATATACAATATAAAATGCTTCACAAAAATAAACAACGGTATACAGTACTGTAGTATGTAAAACTGTATCTGGTTTTTCTTGTGTATTATTAGCTTTTTCTGATATTTTGTCATTTTTTAGCTTTGTTCCTGACCCCTGATACTTTTTAAGACACTGCCGCCAGCAACATATTCTAACCTCTCACTGTTCCAACTACCATCACCACCACTGCTGCTGCTGGAACGGCAGCCACTGCCTTACTGTGGTTTCACCTCAGAGACTCATAAATACTGTAACCACTGCTTCACACAGGTCTTCCCAGCTGGTGAAGTGCACCAAACCAATCTTCTTTGTCCATGACATTGTACTACACTACACTATACTATACCATACCAAACCATATTATACTATACTATACTATACATTGTAGTATACTGCACTGTAGTGTGCTGTACATTTCATCTATATATCCATTCTCTATATCTCAAAGTTCATATTCGATCTCTGATTGAAATTATTTTCCATACACATTCTCATTTCCCTGGAATCTCGACTGTCATCCTAACACTCACACATTCTCTTCACACTCTGCAACACTCTCACTTCTGTGACTCTGAAACTCTTTGTTCTTCCTCCTCCAGTGCTTTGATATGCCAGCTATTTATTCACCAGCACTAAGCAAGTGTTTCAGTGAAGAGCCTTTCTGTGTGTCACGTAAAGGCCACTCAGCTCGTGGAGCTTTCTTAGATCCACTGATCTTGTCTGATGTGCACTCTTCAGTCTGGTCCCTGAGATCCCTCTGTCCCTGATGTAGATAATCTCCTCCATCTGTTACATGGACACTCACACATGCAAAACACACACACAGAGACACAGTGCCTGGATCTAAGCTGTCATCTGTGATGGTGGATGATCCTCTGTGGCTGCTGTCACTCAGCTACTCCGTGTGCCGACAGTGTAATTGATATGCATGTGACTTGACTACAGAACTGTGACACTATAGATTTTAATAATACTATACTACATGAAATGCACTATATTATGACATACTATTCCATATTATGCTATGCTATACTGCACTATACTATACTATACTCTATTGTGAAAGAAGGCACAAAATCCATCATCCATAATTAACTGCATGCTTTTTATGCAACTGGTGGTGAAATCACTTTCTTGTTTTCAGGGGACTGTGTTGTTGTGTGTTTGCAAAGTGCAATGGTGGAGCTTGTGTGTATGTGTGCGTGTCTTAAAGGTAGGTTCACTAAACAGCTGAGCAGCTTTGTACTTGTATGCGCCTGTTTACAGGTGTATGTGACTGATTGGTCAGTCCCCGAAAGAGAAGAAAGATGGGTGTGTAGGCTGTAGAGAAATTGCTGGATTGGACTAATCTGAAAAGGAAGGACGTGGTGAGGAGATGGGTCAGTAGGCCTCTAACCTTCAAACACACAAGCACACACACAAACACACACCCACAAAATTCTGTCAATAATAGTTATATACACAGGGACAGCAGCAGTTAGGTTGTGTCAATAGCTTCAGTGGAAATGTTTGACTTTTAGTCTGCAGTGCGTGTTGATACATTTATGGCTAACTTTAACCCATATGTTAATGTACATGATTCCACTAAGGTTTCTGCAAAGCTATTGAAAGCTCTGGTTAGGTTTTTACCATTAAGTTCAGACACATACATGATAAGAAAATATTGATCTTCCACAGTAACTATTTGAATGTATTGTTATTAAAAAATTCTACTTGTACCAAATTACAGCATCACATCAGCGTATGCATATACTGCAAACCTGTAGCTTAAACAACTGGTCTGACTGTAGTCTTGTTCTTTTATGGAGATTTTCACACCTGCTTCTTAAGGCAGGTGTCGAGAGCACCAGCGACGATGAAGGAGGGATTCTTGGAAGTAATTAGGTGTCATTACATTTTTACTTTTTTTCGAAATGCAGCTCAAGTAAACTCTTCAGACTTGTGAAGAATCTTGGAGCATGTTCATTAAATTTATTTAATCAAAACATTGTCATTATTGGTCATTTGCTCAGGTGTCTGCTAAAGCAATGGTATTTAAAAAAACAAGCAATTTGTCCCTCTCTTGCAGGCACAAAGGCATTGACAGTCTTTGAGGAACCCTACAGTGAAAAGGCACTGGTTTTGGGTTTGTCCTAAATTTGAATTATGCCTCCTTTCCAGACCCTTTGGTGTCACAGTTGTGTCATCACATGGGGACAAGCAACAGCATGTGCAGGCACAGAGGCTACGATAGCCAGCGAGCAACACAACATATGAGGAAAAGGCTTGTAAAAAAAGAAAAAAATGCTGGTTTCTGATTCTTGAACACAAATGTAGGCTGCTTTTCAGGGCCTTTGATGCTCAAAACAGCACATACAATATCGGGTTTTGGTGAACTCCAGAAGCCAACATTTTGGTACTGTCAATCCTTTGAACCTGGAATATACCAGTTTTCTGGAATTTTAGTGTTGTATTGTCCACACAGCAGAGCAGGAGGAATTGTACTTTCTTGCCAACAGCAAAAACAAATTAGCATAACTGTGTCCATCGACTGAAAGATAAAGATGTGATGAAAGTTTAAGCAACTTTGTACTAATGCTGCTGGGTTTTACTATCCCTACTGTACTTGAATACAGAAACCTGAATTTTAGTAGTAGTAGTAAGTAGTAACAGCCTTGTCACACATTGTCACGATGGCAGTCGTGACTGTTGTTTCCCTGTGTTCCCCCTTGTTTTCCCCATCCTTGTGTTCTGTTTACTTGTCTCTGTCTGTGTTGTGGGCGTGGCACATTTCCCTGGTCCCTCCTGGATAATCACAGATGAAGCACACCTACCGTTCCTCAGCTCACCTGCCTTTCATCAAGGCACTCATCACTCCAACTGTATATAAACCCTGGCCTTCCTCCCACTCCTTGTCAGATCATTTGTTCAGCCACTGTGGTAGTTCACGTTCAGATCGCCTTAAACTATTGTTCCTTGTGCTTCCTGTTGATTTCCTGACCGATCTCTAACCACCTATTCTCTTGTGCTTAGGTCCACCACCATCTTCACCTCCTGCCACCTGCTTGCCTGCTCTCCACCAACCATCTCCAGACAGTCCACACTCCGTGCCTCCTCCATCCATTCCAACCATTGCTTCACCTCAGTCATTCCCTCCACCTCGCTATTGGACCCTCTCCTTCCCCTTTTCTCCCACGTCACAATAAATCCCCTTCTCTCACCAACCGTTTTTTGAGCCTGTATTTTGGGTCAGTGCCTGTGTAACCATGACACACATATAGATACAGACACACATGGTGGAAGACAGACTGCTAATGAAACAAAGGAGAAAACATGGGAATCATAGACAGATATTAATGCTAAGGTTCATACACAAAATTTTTGTTATCTTGTGTTTCGATTTTGTTTTTGCATTTTCTTAGTTAACAACTGAACAGAAAACATTAACAAAACCACTTCAATGTTTTTTTCACTGCCCACCCTCTACCCAAAGAATTTTCTCTCTGAAGACAGTGTCGAAATACACACACACGCACAAACCTAGCCATACTCACTGTATACACATGCACACACTGACAGATGGCACCTCAGTGATCACATCTGCCCACTCACCTACATTCACCCTTTAGTTCCCCTAGTGTTGCTACATCTCTCTTTGAAAATGTTTGGATTCAAAAGGATAAGGAATCGAAGCAGCATTCTTCACTCAATAAAATTTTATATATATGAATGATTTATTTTTCTCTTTTTCCTTTGTTTTTTTTTTTTTTTTGGTCTACCATCTTCATGCTTATACACAGATTTACTGGCAACAGGTGAAGTTTGCACATCAATTGGCTTCGATTCCACCTCTGCCCTACATCCTTGTCTGACAGGTCTTACGAATAGGGTTCTCGGACCAACAAGCAAAGGCAGAGTTCTTGTTCTTCCAAACAATTATGGTGAGCTGGTTTTACCAAAGAATGAACCAGATACATCTCTGCTGTCCACCTGCCTGCCAGCTCCTCTTACTTTTACACTTTTTTAAATTCACATTTTTAAAACTTTTCAGATTTTTTTTGTTTTATTATCTCTTATAGGGCAAGATGGCTTTAAAAGAAAGCTTAGAATTAGAATAAATCACATGGCGAAAATAATTATTCGCTAATAGCACTGTGCGAGCAAAGGCAGAGTTCTTGTTCTTCCAATCAATTATGAGCTGGTTTCACCAAAGAATGAGCCAGATACATCTCTGCTGTCCAACTGCCTGCCAGCTCCTCTTACTTTTACACTTTTTTAAATTAACATTTTTAGAACTTTTCAATATTTTTTTTGTTCTATTATCTCTCGCTAATAGGGCAAGATGGCTTTAAAACAGAATAAGAATAAATCACAGGGGAAAAATAATTATTCGCAAATAGCACTGTGCAGATTTCTGAGCAGACACAAAACCCTCGAGGCACAATAGACGTCTCTAAATGTTTTCTATAGCGTGACTAAACTCTGCAAACAAACTACATGTATGAACATTTTTGTAAACCTCACAAGAAGAACATGGGCTAGGACTAATTAAATATATTTGTATGTATTTATATTAATCTATATATTTAGTATATGTAATAAATACATTTGCTGATAGACATAGAGTTCTTTCTGTAAACTATTTACATTTACATGTTTATTTTTTTGCAGAAACAATAAATAGCTATCAAGGCAGGATGGAGTGAAAATCTGTGGGTTTTTTTTTTAGAATATTTTGGTTCTTTTTTAGAGTTGAACACAAGAACAAAGTGTATTCCCACTGAAAAGTCAACACAAGTTATTCTGCCGGGCAACTCACCCTGCACTCAAACTGAGCCCCACTCTGTGTGAGTCACTAGCAGGAACATCGACTTGTGAGAACCGATGCTCTGAGGCTCACCCACCCGTCCTGTCGCTACATCGTGGAATGTGCTCCAGTCTCTCGACTGCCCGTGGTAGATGCCTTCTTCCCTTCTCTTCCCTTCCCTCAAATGTCTGGGCCAACAGGGCCATGAAGTAATAACATTGTACAAAAATGTATCAGCACCTGCCAAAAATGTACCAGCCTTTGGCCTGGTGGCTTTTCCGAACCTTCTTGTAACAAACACACGTTAGATAAAAAAAAGATGTTAAAAAAACGCCACCATCATCAGAGAGAGACAGAAAACATCTAACCCTAACCCTAACCCCACCCCACCCAAAACACCAGGCTCCTTCACAATCTCATGCTGTACAATTTTTTTTAACTTACTTTCTGACTCACTTATGGCAACAATCACTGCTGTGGCTGCAGCAGAGTGTTATTGATGGTGGGCGGGGCTCTTTGTCTTTAAGATACAGGTTTGAAAAAAAGACAACACAGTTCTTGTTGACCAAAAAAACTTTCAAGTGGAAATTACCATGCACAGATGGGTGTCTAGTGAGCACATCATTACAGCATATCCTCAGGGACAACTCTGTCTTGTTGGACAACTAGGAGCGATGGAGAGCTGTGTGTCTGTATTAATATATGTGCTAGAGTGTGTATGAGTCTGTATTAATGTTTGTGCACAAGGGAATGTGTGCATGGGTGTGTGTGTGTGTGTGTGTGTGTAATGGGGGGAAATCTCTTGAAGTTCTTCCTATGGCTCTTGAGGCATAGGAACAGAGGCAGTGAGATATTGTGTGGTAACATTCTCTGGCTGAAAATTGTGGTGTCGACGGATTGGATGGGTGGGTGAATGAGGCGGAGTGCTTACATTACATTTCTCACTCTTTTGATTGGTGCAGAGCAGAATGAGCAACACCCATTAAGACTGACCTCTGATGGCAAACTAGATAAAGGCGGGTGTCGTGGGAGGAGGATTCTCCGACTTGGTCAGTCCTAGTGAAGAGGAAAGACAAGGAAGGGCAAGGAAGGTAGAACGAAATGACAGAGGGGTGAGGTGTATGCAGGAAGTTGGGACGGAATAGACAAAGGAAAGTAAGGGTGTTGGATGCTGGGTCATTGACCAGTGCTGTTTTATAGGCTGCAGCCCAGCTGCTTGGCCCTCTCCTGAGTGTCCTACAGGCGCAGCAGGCTGGCGCTGGAGTATCCCTCATAACTACAGCTGCTACGCAGGCTGCCTCGCTCATCTCCTGAGTTGCTTACGCTGCTTGTGCTCCACTCCAGGTCAACCAGCAGGTAGTCTGTCCCCTCCACATCCACATCCAGGTCTTCTGTTGTCACAATGTGGTACACAAAACAAGACAGGTTACAAGAAGAGATGACTATGCAATAAAGCAGTGAAGATATATGACAGTGCTTTGTCAGTCACCAACTTACCCTGGTCTGAGTCCGACTTTTCCGAGGACACGGTGGAGCCGGTACTGTCCATGCGGGTTCTCTCCACCCCCAGCTGCTCCAGGCGCCTCCTCAAATGTCTCTGCTCCTGCTGTAACTGCTCTAAAGTATGCTGAGCTTTTCTGTCGCTCTCCTCCAACCTCTGCAACACCACGAGAAGAGACAACACAGAAACCCTTAGGTGGAGCCCTTCAAATTGCTGCTCAGCTTATCGTCTTATCTATGACATTTTAGTCTCTTCAGCAAACAGCAGCAACACACAGCACTCTTTATTAGCAGTGTGCTTCACACACAGACAGAGACCTTGATGTGATCTTTGGCCTTCATCAACAGGCTGAGGGTGGTGTGCCTGTTAGCCTCCGGTCCCAAGGGAACAAGAGATTTCAGTCGCTCTAGACAAAGCCGTAAATGTGCCCTTCTGCAGGAAGAGAGATGAAACAAAAAATAATAATTAAATACTCATTTACATATTTTTAAATTGAAGAAGTGTAAGGTAAAACAGACACAGTACTTTCACTCTTGTAATTTGCCATTATGCTTCCTTTTTTAATCAGGGCCAACTGAATGCAAAACTGAAAACACTAAAATGCACTAAAATTTTGTAACTGTCGTCAGAGACTTAGAATTGAGTGAGCGTCTTGATCAGACCAGGTATTTCCAACCATACCAACAGGATACACTCACTCATTCTAAATATCCATCCATCCATCCATCCATCTTCAACCGCTTATCCGGGGCCGGGTCGCGGGGGCAACAGTCTGAGCAGGGACACCCAGACTTCCCTCTCCCTCGACACTTCCTCTAGCTCTTCTGGGGGGACCCCAAGGCGTTCCCAGGCCAGCCGAGTGACGTAGTCGCTCCAGCGTGTCCTAGGTCTTCCCCTGG